TTTTGATCTTTTACTCTCTTGCTACCAACTAGACCAGCAGGCTAATCGCAAAAGTTGAAAGAATTCAATATGAAATCAAAAAAATTAAGCCGAATTCTCGCGAGTAGATAGGAAACGTGATAAACATAGAGATAACGTATTATTATGACATACATATAGTGATATAGTGTAAATTGAGACTCAATGAATATGTACCTACTGATAACTATGTTTAAGTGTGCCTCCTCAACCTCCCTGCCAATTTACATCTAAATTGATCGAGGCGTTCTTGAGTTATAAATAGTGTAACTAACACGACTTTCTTTTATATATATAGATGACTAACCAAACGCTTAGTGGACAGTAAAGTTCACCTCTACTCATCCTTTGGACTCGAGAGAAATGTGACTCATTACGTAATTGTACAAAGACATTTTGTCATTACGTCCTAACACTCCTAAAAGAAATAAACATAATCTATATATCCATACTAGCTACTACCGCGCGGTTTCACACGCTCTGCTCAACTTCTATTGGTCGTAGCGTGATGTTTTATAGCCTATAGCCATATTCGATAAATACTCTATCCAGCACAAAAAGAATTATTCAAATCAGACTTGTAGTAACGGAGATAAGCGCGTTCAAACAAACAAACAAAAAGTATTAAGTATAGAGGTAGATAAGATTGTTATAAAAATGAATTTCCGTTCGTTAGTCTCGTTAAAACTTAAGAACTGCTGAACCGATTTGGTTAATCCAGAAATGATGATCATGACAACCTCTGTTTACAGTGCAGGCTTGTTGTATTTTGGCTAACATCGATATCGATGATTTTACTCTCCAACTAAGCATTCCAAAGGTAAAAGAATTATTAAAATTGGTCCAGTAGTTTCAAAGCTTGTTCAATGCAAACACACAAACAATCAGATGTTCTTCTTTATAATGTTAGTATAGGCAAGATATTACGTGTCTCTTGCATATAATATTATGCACGTGTTTGGCTTCGCGCCAACTAGTCGGCAATGGACTTGGTAGTGACCGCTGCTAGTTTATTGTAGATAGGTAGGCGCAGAAGGTTTGAATGTTATGGGTGCGTCTCCTAGTCTTAAGGAACTTCTACAGTAGGTACAGCATTTTCATGTATGTAATTAGTTAACTGAAAATTACTGGAAACCCACGTGAATATACTGAGAAAAGTACTACTAGTTTTTCTGTCGATGACGCGCAGCCTACTGCATCGCCGCGACCGCGCACGATGCTTACGAGGAAGAGTCCATCTGTGACTCGAAACTAGTCGAGCTTTTCTCAGTATATTTACGTGTATAACCCGTGAATTTAGTTAATTCAGTATGTCTTAAAATAGTTATTATAAGAACTGTGTCTGTAATGTTTGGTAAAATCGAGAATTGTGTCTGTGAAGGTTTTGAGCAGGATTTACAGAACAATTTTGTATAGTTAGTCCCCAAATAGTTGTTCCTACGACTTAAGTTAAGAGACTTAAGAGAAGGTTCTAGAGTGGGGCAATGTTTAAAACAAATGTTCGTTCGTCAAGATAGGGACCTATTTTACTAAAAAATGTATTTTGTATATTAGTAAATTCAAAACTGACTGCCTCGTTGGACGATTGGTTGCAAATGCTGGCAAGGGGTCTCGGGATCGATTCCCGGGTCGGTCAAAGTATTTCTGGGTTTTTATGGCAATAGGCTCATCCCCTGTTACATGGGACTCATAACATAAATAGTGAGAAGTGGATGTTACATTGTACATACGAGTACAGTGGCATTAAGTGCTGTAATATGCACCTCTGCCTATCCCTTCGGGGGCTTAAGGCGTGATGTTGTGTTATGTAAATTCAAAACCTCACAATAAAATTACTCCGCGAGACTTGTACTTCTGTTCTAACTCATTTTGTAACGGGATGAGCGTTACGACTGTTTCGTCAATACTTTGGCTGCCAACAGTGACTGTCAGCGAATTATGTCTTCCGGAGATAAACAAACAAGACACAGAGGTCTCGTGATCTATACTCGGGTTGAGCAAATGTTTATTGCGTTTTCATCATCATGTCTATGTCTGCCTCATTTACTACCGATCAATTTCCAGGTTTGGCAAAGATTTCTGGGGTTTTTTCGGTATCCGGAAATTTTTGCATTAGTTAGTTATTATAAAGCTGAAGAGTTTTTTGCGGGCGCTAAAAAAGCCGGTAAGCGAGCAGACGGATCACTTGATGCTAAGCATTCGGCGTCGCCTATGGACACCTGGAACACTAGAGGCGTTACAAGTGCGTTACCGGCCTTATGGGGATTAGAAATTTGCGGATAGTTGGGGATTGACCCCAAGAAATTGGGGTTTGGGATTGGGGAAATTGGGCCTCCAGTACCTCACTCACACGACGGAACACAACGCAAGCGTTGTTTTACTATGGTTTTCTGCTTGGCCGTGGTATCACTCCGGTCGAGCCGGCAACCGCAACTACTGGTCCAAGTTAAATAATAGGGTAGATGCCAAATTTTTATTTTAATGTCCGTCTGGTAGGTTAATCCAAATCATAACACATAACATAACATCACGCCTTGTATCCCCGAAGGGGTAGGCAGAGGTGCACATTATGCCACTGTACAATGTAACACCCACTTTTCACTATTTATGTTATGAGTCCCATGCAATAGGGGGTGAGCCTATTGCCATATACCGGGCACAATTCCAGACTCCGTGCTACTACTGAGATTTTTTTTAAAAACCCAGTAATACTTTGCCCGACCCAGGAATCGAACCCGAGACCTCTTGCCCGGCAATCGCAATTGCGACCACTCGGCCAACGAGGCCAAATCATTAGACACGTATTTTTAATTTTCTTACAGAAACGAATACTTTCGACGATATATTGATTTGAAATGTCGCGTGACGTCGTTTCTATGTACATTTTATACGTAGAAATGACGTTTTAGCTCCAACTCCTAAATTTTGATTCGTTATATCTAAGTATTGTAACCTTATAAGTATGACAAAATAAAATACGTGTCTAATATTTTTCTTTATCTAACTGACGGATTAATTAGATTTATAATTTTCGTACGGTGGCAAGCAACTACCCTAGGCCCTAGAGGTATAGTGTACATAACATAACATAACATCACGCCTTTTATCCCCGAAGGGGTAGGCAGAGGTGCACACAGAAGTGACACCCACTTTTCACTATTTATGTTATGAGTCCCATGTAATAGGGGGTGAGCCTATTGCCATATACCGGGTACATTTCCAGACTCCAGACTTTTTTAAAAACCCAGTAATACTTTGCCCGACCCGGGAATCGGACCCGAGATCCCTTGCCCGGCAGCCGCACTTGCGACCACTCGGCCAACGAGGCAGTCATTAATTCATTATAATGCTAATACTCGCGTACTGACGTGTTTTCTCATAGTAAACGATATTATTAAGTACTTTTTAGTTGACATACCTCTACATACACAATCAGATTACGTAGTTTTTTTATGAGCTGTGTGGTAACGATGGACGGATAGGATAGATTTATCACCATTTTACCACCTTTGTTCTCGCCGTGGGTGTCGCTAGACACCGAAATTGCTAACCTCGATCAATCTATGTTTTTGACAGAAATTCCAAAGTCAACCATTTATTTAAATTTATCCTTAATTAGGCACTTTTGAAACGTCAAATTGATTTCATATGTTTATGTTTTATATGTGACTAGCTACTTCCGCGCGGTTTCACACGCTCTGCTCAGCTCCTATTGGTCGTAGCGTGATGTTTTATCTTATGTATGATTATTTATAGCCTATAGCCATCCTCGATGAATGCGCTATCTAACACAAAAATAATTATTCAAATTGGACTTGTAGTTACGGAGATTAGCGCGTTCAAACAAACAAACAAAAAAAACACACTCTTTATATACTTCCGCTTTATATAATAGTTTAAGATAATTATTATGACTGACTGCCTCGTTGGCCGAGTGGTCGCAGGTGCGACTGCCGGGCAAGGGGTCTCGGGTTCGATTCCCGGGTCGGAAAAGTATTACTGGGTTTTAAAAAAAATCTCAGTAGTAGCACGGAGTCTGAAATTGCGCCCGGTATATGGCAATAGGCTTACCCCCTATTACATGGGACTCATAGCATAAATAGTGAAAAGTGGGAGTTACATTGTACAGTGGCATAATGTGCACCTCTGCCTACCCCTTCGGGGATAAAAGGCGTGATGTTATGTTATGTTATAATTATTATGTTTATGAATGCTGCTCATGAATATGAGTCCCTAGCATGGCTTGAAACTAGTCGAGTTCCTCGTCAAACAGTTACGTGATTAAGTCGGAAACATACTAATTAACACAAAAAGAAGTTAATGGTGCGTCAGCGCAAAAGGCCGAAGCTCTAATGCTGTGCTCCATGCACGAAGGTTTATTTTTTTAAAGGGATAAAATCATCGAATCACATCTGCCGCCTGGCCGAGGCGAGAGGAAGTGTCAGACTCTTACTGATTAAAAACCATCCCGTTCCTACTCCTGCACTTCGAGCCAGAGCCCCGGTAACCCGTTAAGATCTCCGCGGGTTCGTATTGGCATCAACCCTATTGGGCCCCATCTGTGGTGGTCTGTAAGCTATTTGAGGAGCACGGGTGGTTCTACAATAAAAAAATAATCAAAAAATTTACGTCGTCATTATCCTTAAGTCAAAGTTAACAATTCCGCTGATTAAAATACAAAGTTTAGTTTCAAGAAATTGAGCCATGTCACTGCTCTCACTCACCCAATTCAATAAAATACAGATGCTAATAAGTTACCGCGATGCTTAACAACGCGGGAGGGTGAGCCTATTGCCGGCACTATTCCAGACTCCGTGCTACCACTGATATTTTTTTAAAAACCCAGTAGTACTTTGCCCGACCCTGGAATCGAACCCGAGACCCCTTGCCCGGCAGTCGCACTTGCGACCACTAGGCCAACGAGGTAGTCTTCAATCTCTAAACATGCCTAGTTAAAACCAACTCTATCTCTTTGTCCACAGATCACAATGTCTCGAGACAGGACCTCGAAGCGGTTTTACCGCGCAGAATCTACACACGACCTGTTGTCCTATATGGACAAAGGACAAGCAGCCAGCAATGAGAACCGATGGACTTTTGAAACGGCTTGGGAGGTTGCTAACAAAGGTATGGTAATAGGGTAGTTTCCTAAATTTTATTTTAATGTCCGTCTGGTACATCAATTTAAAACATTAGACACGTATTTTTTATTTTCTCACTAAATTAAATACTTTCGAAGGTATATTAAACTGTCAAACACCAAGCGGTCACCGGTGACCGCAACCTATTGTTCTATAATTGTGTCTACAAAACCGGTACTCGACGAGTTAATTTGAAATATCGTGTGACGTCACAGCGTGTCACATTTTGTAGCACGTTATGACGTAACGACCTCCCACTCCTAAACTTGGCGCCATTTTATCTAAGTATTGCAACTTAATACGAGAAAATAAAAAATACGAGTCTAATATTTTTTCATTATCTAACTGATGGACTAATTAGATGTATAATTTGGATACCCCGGACACAACCCAATTCTTAATGTGAAAAGATTTTTTGCTAACGGTTGAAAATATATGAATTATAAAAATAATAATGGGTCCCGGCTGTTAGTTTTTTTTTTATGGGATAAGCCGGTAAACGAAGTCGCGGAGAACCTAACGGGTAACCGGGGCTCCGGCTCGACGTGCAGGAAAAGGAACGGGGTGGTTTTTAGTAAGTAAGAGTCTGACACTAAGGCGGGAGCAGTCATTCGATGATTTTCCCCCCTTAACTCGTCAAGCACCGTCATTATAGACACTATACACATAATTATAGAACAATAGGTTGCGGTCACCGGTGACCGCTTGGTGTTTGACAGTTTAAAAGAAAAAAAAGCCGATAAACGAGCAGACGGATCACCTGATGGTAAGCAATCGGTGTCGCCCATGGACACCTGGAACACCAGGGGCGTTACAAATGCGTTGCCGCGACTTTAAACTGTCAAACACAGCGAGGACACCGGTGACTGCAACCTGTTGTTCTTTAATTGTGTCTATAATGACGGTATTCAAAGAGTTAAGTAGGAGTAGGAACGGGGTGGTTTTTAGTCAGTAAGAGTCTCACACTCTCTCTCGTCTCACACAAAAGGGGGAGAAGTCATTGGATGATTTTCGTCCCTCAAAGAAAAACCTATAATTTTTGCGTATTACAGGTTTCCCCTGAACGCCCTCTTAATTTATATTTCTTTTGAGTAAGCCCTAGTTTTGTGAGAATGTTACTTAAAAATTAAGCTTAACGATATAAACCTGGGTGTCTTCAAGGCCCGTGTGAATAGGTTGCTTATGGGACGACGTGCTCTATCGTAGACCGCATCATAGCTTACCACCAGGCGAGATAGTGGTCAAACGTCGGGCCATCAAATATTAAATAAAGCTTTTCAATATTTAAAGGATTTTTTTTCCAAATTATCGTGAACTTTATCCTCTTTAATGTAATTGGTACTTGTAGATACATAACTTCACACCTGTCTCCCATGAGGGTAGGCAGAGACTATGGAACGTCAATTAACTCGTCGAGTACCGTCATTATAGACACAATTATAGCTACCTATTGTTCTATAATTGTGTCTACAAAACCGGTACTCGACGAGTTAATACGATTCCTACATACCTCTTTCGCTTCATCAACAGTCATCAATCTTTTCATGTATGCTCGTTGGTTAAGGGTACCCTTAACCAACGTTTTAATTTGGCCCTTCTTTAATATATCGCCAATCTGGTCACTATATGTCCGTCTAGGGCGCCCTCTACCGACGGCCCCGTTCATATCCGCTCTGTATACTTCTTTCGTTACTCTACTTTCATCCTTCCTTTCTACATGTCCAAACCAGCGTAACATTCCCTTTTCAATCCTTGTCACTACATCATTTTTCAATCCACACTTTTTTCTAATAACACCATTTAGATAAATTACCTAATAATATTGATTGAATATGATGATTTTTTAACACAAACAGTGTCACAACTTGGCAAAAAAGAGTTAGAAATAATTGAGGTCGCTAGTATCGTACCTGTAGCAACCTGACACACTACGACCCAACTGTATTTGACATATTTCCCAATAATTAAAAATAACGTTTGTTATATACAATTAATATTAACTATTACTAAATGAAAATATATACAACTTAAAATATAAATAAGTATGAACTAAAATATTTACACCTTAAAAAAATAAAAAAAATAAGCTATAATAATAAGGCATCAAAAAAAAAACATTCCTTATCGTTATCGTGAGATAGGGTGCCCAAAAGACTGGCAGCATTGCCACGTTGAATGGCAATGCTTAACCTTTGTCCAAGGTAGAAGCCAGCCCTTCGATCACCTGAAGTGTCAACCATCCTCCTTACAATATCTTTGTAAAGAAGATGTGCAACTGTATTGATATTTATTATTTTCATCGAGTTTAAAAAGAGGAGGTACTATGTTCGTACGATTGTTTATTCATAGGATGTGGTCCGAAATATGTAAGTCCAAGTCAATATTTGTTCCAACTGTCATATCTTCTAACACAGTGTTGTTACCTAAAATATCCCTACACGAATCTAATCAAAAATCTATCACTAAACAGTACCTAATACAAAAGTTATCCAGGTAGATTTCAGACCCAAATCTAGTCTACATTTTAGCTTTTATCTAGGTCTTAGGCAGTAACTAGATATCCTATTGTTAATGTTTACCTAGTGTTTAAGTCCTTGTAAGTACTAGAATTTCTGGTTTCCTTACAATTACTAAGATGTCTGAATAGGATATGCCTAGGTACTTGCCTTTGTTTTATGGTAGCAAAAATATTATTAGACAGAAGGCCATACTTATGCCCAGTGTATGGTTATGGCCTTACGATTAAACATGAGCAGTTTACCTGCACAGCTAAATCGTAAATCCATACAGCCTAGGAGAACTTAACGGGTAACCGGGGCTCCGGCTCGACGTGCAGGAGAAGGAACGGGGTGGTTTTTAGTCAGTAAGAGTCTGATACTCCCTCCCGCCTCACCCAGGCGGGAGAAATGAGTCGATGAATTTCGCCCCTTAAAAAAAAATAGCCTACACACCTTTAAGAAAATCTGTGTGCATGGCATAAAGCATTGGTCTCCCACATTCTTATAGTGTTAGCCGTGCTTCGCTACGAATGGGCCGGCTCGAACGGAGTGATACCACGGCCGAGCAGAAAACTAAACCTAACCCCCAAAATGCCGGTAACGCGGAGTAACGCCAAACACCAGAGGTGTTTCAATCACACCTCTGGTGTTCCAGGTGTCCATGGGCGTCGCCGATTGTATACCATCAGGTGATACGTTTGCTCGTTTACCGGCTTATCCCATAAAAAAATGTACAATGTAGTTAAATCGTAAGGTGTAGCGTGCATAACAATGGTTACCGTTTTAAGTGTACCTAATATTTCTTTATGTCGTGGTGGCCCGGAGGTTTAAGACGCCCCCTTCTCATGCATGAGGGTGCGGGCTCGAAACCTACCAACGGCAAGTACCAATGTGACTTTTTCCGAGTTATATGTACTTTCTAAGATTATTTAGACACCACTGACAAACGGTGAAGGAAAACATCGTGAGGAAACCTGAACTTGTAATTTCTAATTATAAGTTTGAAATCGCCAACCCGCATTGAGCAAGCGTGGTGATTAATGCTCTGACCTTCTCCGTGTGAGAAGACGCTTTGCTCAGCAGTGGGCATATATAGGCTGTTGATGATGAATATTTCTTTATTTAATACATTAAACAACTGCCATTACAGAAATCTTATATCTTATACTTCATCAATACATAGTATAAAACAAAATCGCTTTCGCTGTATGTCCGTATGTATGCTTAGATCATTAAAACTACGCAACGGATTTTGATGCGGTTTTTTTTAATAGATAGAGTGATTCTTAAGGAAGGTTTGTATGTATAATACATGCATATTGCACCCGTGCGAAGCCGGGGCGGGTCGCTAGTTATTATATAAAGCGGAAGAGGGAAAAAAAAAAAAAAAAAAAAAAAAAAAGCGCTAATCTCCGTAACTACAAGTCTGATTTGAATAATTCTTTTTGTGTTGGATAGCGCATTTATTGAGGATGGCTATAGGCTATAATACTTCGCGCTACGACCAATAGGAGCTGAGCAGAGCGTGTGAAATCGCGCGGAAGTAGCTAGTCTATATAATAAGTTGCTTATGGGACGACGTGCTCCATCGTAGACCGCATCATCGGTTACCACCAGGCGAGACAGTGGTCAAACGTCGGCCCATCAAATAAAAAATAAAAAAGTCCGCGGAACCGATTTAGGTAATTTTGGTAATCACATGTTCGTGGAAGTCCAGGGAAGGTTTAAACTGTCAAACACCGCGAGCACACCGGTGACCGCAACCTATTGTTCTTTAATTGTGTCTATAATGACGGTACTCAACGAGTTAAAATGCGAGACATCAGTCGAGTAAAAAGAAAATTGAGGCGGTAGGAAGTTAGCCACATCAGTTAGTCAATATATTTATTTATTTGTTTGTTCCAGTGGGCGGTATCTACACTGTGATCAGGTCGAAAGCGTACGTGTCTACGGAGGAAATGGGAGAGAATTACTGTCTACTGGGTAAGATATGCAATACGTTACAAGCAGCTGTAGCCAAATGCCATTTAGCGCTTGTCTACATGTAGAATAGAAAAACAAATTATATGGAATTGACGTAAATTTTGACACTTGTCAGTGTTATCCCCATACATTTAATTTTCTGTATCAATTTATCAATTTACCTGGTTGTACCTGTCAACCCAAGAGTTTATGACTGGAAAAGAATAAGCAATCTAACGTTTCTATATTCTATGGGCTTCATACTTTCAATTATATAATAATAAAACCGATGAAATATAAAAATAATCTTTTTTATATTAATTAATCATATTCTGGACGGAACGCGAGATACAGTATGTTATATTTTCTGTTGTGTCTCAAATCTACAGCCAAGTGTTTAATTATAATTTAGGATGATTTAAATAAACAGAATCCTGTATTATCTTTCTAGGACCGTATAAGGAACACTGCGCTAGGACTGAGGTAGAGGAGGCGGATTTCCCTCCCAACTCCCCTCTGACAACTGCTGTTAATGCTATGAGGAGCCAAGGGTATAAGGTAAGGAATTTTGTACACATTTTTATTGTTAAAGTAAATCAAAACATCTCATCAAATCAGTTGAAACCGGACAAGTACCAATGTGACTTTTTCCGAGTTATATGTACTTTCTAAGATTATTTAGACACCACTGACAAACGGTGAAGGAAAACATCGTGAGGAAACTTGGGCTTATGATTTGTAATTATAAGTTTGGAATCGCCAACCCGCATTGAGCAAGCGTCGTGATTAATGCTCAAATCTCCGTGTAAGACCTTTGCTTAACTGTGAGCATATAATATAATATATGTCACGGTAGTCATAACATAAATATACTTATTTTACTTTATTAACTGCCTCATTGGCGGAGTGGTCGCAAGTGCGGCTACTAGGCAAGGGGTCTCGGGTTCGATTCCCAGGTCGCGCAAAGTATTACTGGGTTAAACTGTCAAACACCAAGCGGTCACCGGTGACCGCTTGGTGTTTGACAGTTTAAGAGTCGTGATGTGCACTTCTGCCTACCCCGTCAGGGATAAAAGACGTGATGATGATGTTATGGTTTCCTTTATTAAATTCTTTTTTTCTCCACAGCTTCACACCGGAACCTGGCTGGTCGACGGCAACCCTCAGATCATACTCTTCGACATCGGCTCTGGCGCCTGGCAACTGGATGGGTACAAGCAGGAGTTGTGGAATACTTGCGGTATCGGCATACCCCACCTGGACGTCGAAGCTAATGACGCTGTTATACTAGGGTTCATGGTCGCGCAGTTCATTGGCGAGGTGAGTAAAGAAATTAATTTATAATGAATGAAGTGCGTGAGTGAAGTGATTGAGTGAAATGAGTGATTGAAGTGAGTGAGTCAAGTGACTGAGTGGTGTGAGTGAAGGAAATGAGTGAGTGAAGTGAGTGAGGGAAATGATTGAGTGCAGTCAGTGAGTGATCGAGTGAAAATTATTCGATATCATTTCGTGTGTAAAGTATGGAATTTTCGCATGCTTTATACCTAAGATTTTACTTAAATCTTGTCAGTATTGTGTTTAAAATTCATCTTAATAATAATAACATAACATAACATAACATCACGCCTTTTATCCCCGAAGGGGTAGGCAGAGGTGCACATTATGCCACTGTACAATGTAACACTTTGCCCGACCCGGGAATCGAACCCGAGACCCCTTGCCCGGCAATCGCACTTGCGACCACTCGACCAACGAGGCAGTAATAATAATAATTCCTCTCATAATTATTATAATCGTCGTAACTCGTCGAGTACCGTCATTATAGACACAATTATAGAACAATAGGTTGCGGTCACCGGTGACCGCTTGGTGTTTGACAGTTTAATTAATTTCTTTTTCTTTAACAGTTCCGCAAAGCAGCGGAGGGTTACAGCGACACCCCGCCCCGTGTAGTCGCTCACTTCCACGAGTGGCAGGCGGGCATCGGGCTCATAATGCTCAGGTGAGCTTTAAACAATGAAATTTATATATAAAATACAGTCGAATTAAGTACCGAAGTCGGTTGTAAATGAAACCCGTTTCCCGTTGTCACGCCATAACTTGAGAACGGCTAGACCGATTTGGCTGATCTTTTTTTTGTTATGTTTGTTATTGTCAGGAGAAGGTTCTTATGACAGAAATCGGAACGGGAAAAAACAGGATTGCGCGCACGAAGTCGCGGGCAGAAGCTAGTATTACATAATTCCTGTCAGGTTTCAAAGAAAATAATCAAGGTTGTGCTAGTTATTTAGTCTTTTTGCCTTCTTGCTCATCACGCTTACTTCAGGCAAAGATTCGAGAGCGCCACTTACTACGATCTTTACATTTCTTGTTTTTGTAATAACTATCGTGAGACATACTAAATTAAGTTAAATCGCGGGTTACTCACGTGTATATACTGGCGGCGCGGCGCGTGCTCGCAGCGCAAGTAGCAACACCGAGGCGAGCGCCAACGCCAGCCAGTGAGGGCGCGACGTCGCCGCGACCGCGCACGCTGCTCATGAGGAAGAACCGCTCAGTAGTTTGAAACTATACTCGGAATTTTAATTCGATTCCAGATTTGACAATTTCAGTGTTGCAACGTTATGACAAGTACTAAATAGTGACGTTGCGAAATTATTCGATATGGAAATGCAATATTTCTGGATCGATTCTTCATGTTTATAATTTTACTCTCGTATACTAAGTATTTTTGGAAATTAAATATTTCTGAACCGATAAATTAGTTTTGACGATTAATTAACGATCTGAGACTTTTCTTTTATAATTGTGTGTGAAATAAATAAAAAAATGCAATCATGAAGGAACATGACAAATAAAACAGATAGATGTATTATGGTAATAAGTTATTTTATAAAGTGTCGCCGTCATCGCTATCGCTATCCTGTCACTTTCTGTAACATCTATTATAAAACACACACACTGATTGTTTATCGATTTTTGTGTTCATCACTACACTATTATATGTGTTATCATTATTTCACAAAATGACAGTAGCTATTGTCAAATCTGGAATCTAATTAAAATTCTGACTATAGTAGAGCTTTTCTCAGTATATTCACATGAGTTACTCGCGATTTAACTTAATTTACATTTCTTGTTTAAATAAAAACCATGTTAATCAAGTCACATACTTTAGAACCACGACATTTGGTTATAAAGTCCAATATTTAAATAAAATAAGCTAAAACTCTTAAATCATCGAGGATGCTCGACTAAATTCAAGCTCTGATCGGGGCTTATAATCTTATCTTTGGTCGTCGCTCAGCTAAAGTGACTCATTTCGTCCTCGAACGATTTTCGTTCCCCGTATATTTAAATCAATTTAGTATGTCTTATAATAGTGATAACAAAATAATTAATGTTTTTTTTTGTACAGAGCTCGACACGTGGACGTAGCGACAGTGTTCACAACGCACGCTACCCTCCTCGGACGATATTTGTGTGCTGGCAACACTGACTTCTATAACAATCTTGATAAGGTAACACTCAAGTCGTCAATCCATACTAATATTATCAGACCCGAGCGTACGGCGCGTCGATTTCCGCACGCGCCTCAAAGAGCCATCAGACCACCACGGATGGGGCCCAACAGGGCCGGTGCCGATTTGGAGTCGCGGAGAACCTAACGGGTTACCGGGGCTCCGGCTCGACGTGCAGCAGATAGTAGGGGAGCCCACGATGCTAAATTGGGATTTACTTGAGCGTCCTTGGGACCTACTGAATTTTTAAGATATGCTGATAGAAAGAAGAAATGGTTTAGTGACAATTTCTTCCACCAGTGGGGGAAGGGGGAATCTATAGATCTTTGAAATTGTTAAGCGTAACTTTTGTTCTAGTGGTCGAGCGTGTCAGATATTGATAATGTACATGCTCCATGTGTATTTAATAATAAAAAACTCTTAATCTGCCAGTTTGCATGGTGGGGTTGAATGTTCTGGATGTACAAACGAGAACCTTCCCAACCACTTTTCGTATAAAAAGGGAAAAAATCCGGCCTCGAATTGTAACTTACAGGGATATCAAAAACATTGACTTAGAAAATCTGAAAGACGCTCTGGACGCGATCGACTGGCGTGGGGTGGTTTCTTCTCATGACGTGGACTATATGGTATACTGTCTGACAAACAATTTACTGTGTCTGTTTGACACATTTGCACCTCGCAGGAGTGTTAGGATGAGGGATAGATCCTATCCATGGATTACAGAAAACATTAAACTCATGATGAAACTTCGAGACAAAGCCTATAGGGAATTCCGAATTAATAACACATTAACTCACAAAAAACAATACTATACGGATTTAAAGAGTCTAGTAACTAAATCAATTTACCTTGAAAAAGTAGCCTACTTCAAATCAAATATTAATAACAACATCAAACATCCGAAGAGGCTTTGGAAGAATTTAAAATCCACCTTGCTGCCTCTAAAGTCTGATAATGAACTACCCGCACATTTCAATGACCCAAACAAAATAAATGATCATTTTTTGAATATTCCCGGCGATACAATTACTTCCCTGTCGACTTACACCTACTATGAATTTCATAGGTTCTCTGATTGCATCCTCTCCCTTAATACAACCGATGACATGAAGATTCTAAGGATAATAACCAGCCTAAAATCAAATGCTGAAGGTTGTGACCAGATAGCACTGAATATGTTTTTGTTAACAATACCACAAACTTTGAATGTCCTGACGCGTATTATAAATGCCTCCATAGTAACGGCAACTTTTCCGGGCGCCTGGAAATTGGCTAAGGTACGTCCTCTACCCAAAGTAAACAATCCTGGCGAACTTAAGGATTTAAGGCCTATTAGCATTCTACCCTTAATGTCTAAGGTCTTGGAAAGGGTGGTAAACGAACAGGTCTCCAAATTTATAGAGGACAGCAGTGTTCTGCCGGATGCGCAATCTGGTTTTAGGAGGGGGCGTAGTACGGCCACGGCTTTGTTGGACGTCACTGACAATATACTGGCTGCGCAGGATGAGGGTTTGTGCACTATATTGGTCCTGCTGGATTTCTCGAGGGCATTTGATGCTATCAATTTATCCCTATTACTCTCTAAAATGGCGTACTACGGATTTGACATACCAACAATTAAATGGTTCGATAGTTACCTCAGCAACCGTGCGCAGCTGGTTGAATTTCGCGATGCTAATGGATCTTTCTTGGCTTCTGAGGTGAAACCTGTGACGAAGGGAGTTCCCCAAGGATCCATTTTAGGGCCTACCCTATTCCTATTATATTGTGCTGACATCATCAATATAATAAAAACATGTAAATATCATATCTACGCTGACGATATACAGATTTACTTGTCCTTTAGACCGGAAGAATACGCGAGTGCTGTGAATTCAATTAATGAGGACCTCGACAGGATAGTGAACTGGTCAAGCAATAACTGCCTCATCTTAAATCCATCCAAAACAAAATTCATGCTTTTCGGAACAAAGACGCAACTTTACAAGACTCCTAGTAATATTAACGTTCTCTTGAGGGGTCAAATCATTGAGCGTGTCGATGAAGCGCGAAATTTGGGTCTGATAATGGATCAAGGTCTTAGGTTTGAATCTCACATCTCAAACTGCGTCAGAAACTGTTTTTACCGCCTGAAGATACTATACAGAATGCGTCCGTATCTAAGTGAGGAGTTGCGTGTGCGGCTGGTTGAGTCGTTGGTTTTATCCAAGCTAAACTACGCTGACGCGGTTATTGGACCTAGACTGTTTTCACGCACTGAGCGATTGATACAGAGGGTTCAGAATGCCTGCGCGCGTTTTTGTTTTAAAATTCCACCTAGGAGTCACATAACACCTTACTTAAACAAGTATAATCTTCTAAAAATGAAGTCCCGACGTAAGCTCCACCTGGCATGTCTCCTCTTTGGTGTGATTAAGTATAAGTGTCCAGTATACCTCTACTCGAAGCTCTCGTGGGTGAATGCTCATCGGCAGCGGGAGGGTAGGCGGTGTGCACAACAGCTGGCTATACCGCAACACAAATCGGCTGCTTTTCGGGGTAGTTTCCGATATGCAGCTTCTAAGTGCTGGAACAACATACCTCCGCCAATCAGGAACCTGCAAAGCCCATTCACTTTTAAACGAAAACTCAAGGAGTTTATTATTAATTCTCAAATTGAGAATGAATCTATAAATATTGACATTTCGTTTATTTAATCTAACACTTATCTTTCTTATATATTTTTTTTTTTCTTTTTTGTTTAACTGGGTACACAAATTATGTTTTCACATTTTCATATTGATTTATTTATATAATTATTTATTAACTTCAGTATTATTGTAATGTAGCATATCTCGAAAACTCACCCTTGGGCCCCTTGTTGCCGCAGTGCTGGCGAAGTACCGACCTGTCTCTCGCTTCAACTTCGCGCAATGAGTGTCGGGCTGCGCGGTGGCTTCACGACATACCCACACTAATTTTATTGTCGTGATACAGTTTATAAATTTATTTTATTTTTATTATTTTTTTTCCTTCGGTGACGGTACACGTTACACTTGTTTATGTATGCATACTCATTTTTATTCATTTATTTATCGCACAATGTACATACTTAGAGGTCTGTTTTAATTCTTCCTTTTATTTTATTATTATCATTATATTTTTTAACATGTGTCTTATGTAACTATTTTATTTTCCTTAAAATTATTCTTCGTTGCTTCCGTCCGTGCGTCACTGCAGGGGTGCCAACTGAAAACCAGTGTTGGGTACTTACTGTGCCCAGCTCAAACTGAGTTGGCGAGCCCTTTCGTCGCGGACATGCTGCCACCCTGTTTTTTTTTTTATTTTTGTTTATTTTGCTTTTTTATGTTTTTTGCCTTCATTGTTGTTTTATTTTTTACTGCTGTTTTTTGTATGTTATTATTGTTTTGTTCTTATTGTTTTTTATTTTATTTTATTTCTTTATTTTTGTTTTTCAATGTTATTTTTTTTTTTATTATTTTGTGTGTTATTCGGTGGTCCATGTCGGTGGCGAATAAATTATTTTTCTTTCTTTTTCTTTCTTTCTTTCTAACCCTTCAAAATCCCCCAACTCTTGCAAATCAAGTTGGAATGGGCAGATTTTTTAAACGCACTTCCTTTAGCACGGTATTGACCTACCTTCCCTTAATCTGACGAAACTGACTTTATTTAGTCAGACTTTTTTTTTAATTTTCAGTCCCCCCCTTCTAATCAGATTTTATATATGTTGGGTATATTCAACATGACACTAGGTTTTCCCCATATGTTAATCTGACGCGCTCGAGTAACTACCGAAATCCCTTCATGGGCTCCCCTACTAAGAGGGAACAGGGTGGTTTTTAGTCAGTAAGAGTCTGACACTCCCTCCCGCCTCACCCAGGCGAGAGCAGTCATTCGATGATTTTTCCCCCTTAAAAAAATACTAATAATATAAATGTGTATCTTTGTTGCTCTTTCCTGCCTTTCCTGTAGAAACTGCTGAATAGATTTGAATGCAATTCAGTACAATAGATTAGATTGATAATTTATAGTCTGGATAATACATGGGGTTTTATATTTTATCCGGACCCGTGAGCGAAGGCTACGAATCACCTGATGGTAACCAATCAGTGCCATGCGTAGACATCAGCGGACTTAAGAGGCTCTGGCACGGTTCCGGTACGCCTCCGGTAAAGTGTTGTTTCGAGTTTGCCTACCGCTAGCCGCTAGCGTGCTTACGCAGCCGCGGAAGGTTTAACGGGTTGCCGGGGCTCCGGTTCGAAGTGCAGGAGTAGGAACGGGGTAGGTTTTAGTCAGTAAGAGTCTGAAACTCCCTCTCGCCTTACCCGGGCGGGAGAAGTCATTGGTTGATCCCTCCCCCCCCAAAAGCCGCCAGTGCGCTTACGGAGCGTTCGTACGGCGATCGCGCCTGACGGGCGGCTCGTCGTCGGCCCGCTGGCGGCGCGTTGCCGGTGCGCTGGCAGCTCACCGGCGTGCAATAAGCGCGCGGGCGTCTCGACTACAACTTATTAGGACCTCGTGGCCACCCCCCGTCAGCTTTTTGTATTAACGTTATGAAATATGTCATACGACATACGGTTTAAAGTTCATATTTAAATGACAACTTAATTGCTGGGTTGGAGCCGTGCGTGTTTGGTTTGCGATGTACTGGGTTGGAAATTGGGATTCTTACTTTTTTTTTTGAAATATAATCGAATAGATTCTTTACTGAAATGAATTCATTATTTGTCCAGTTCTCAGTAGACGAGGAGGCAGGCAAGCGTCAGATCTACCACCGCTATTGTATGGAGCGCGCCGCGGCACATATGACGCATATATTCACCACCGTCTCTGACATTACTGGTGAGTACACATCATCACCACCCTTATCACCACTATATCTTTACTATCTACTACTGAAAAGGATGGAGTTTTGCGTAATCACCAAGTCTGGACTTACTTGGTGATTACGCAAAACTCCATCCTCCCTCTCTTCTCCATAATCCCTACGTTTGTCATAATCCCCATATTTGACACTCCATAAAAAGTCGAATGAGTTTCATGTGTTGTCTGTCAGTCAGTCAGTCAGTAACAAAAAAGTTTTATAGACGATGTCCTTATAGATTATAGACGACAACAGACGGTGTCCTGCACATCCACTTGAATGTATAAACAAAAATTCATTCAAATTAGTTCAGCTGTTTAGGATAAATAACCTAAACATCGACTGCAGCGCCATCTGCCGGGCTGATTTGTGAATCTAAACCATTCCCAGACCCCCTTGAACACACACAAAAAATTTCATCAAAATCGGTCCAGTCGTTTGAGAGAAGTTCAGTGACATACACACTCACAGAAGAATTATATATATAAAGATAATTTAATTTTAAAGAAATTTTTTTAAACTTTGCCACACTATGATTTCCTCCTGTGTCGTGTGTACGTTTACAAACATACAAGTTCACATACACACACACACACAGACACGGAACTACAATCTGTGGAGCACACACAGAGTTGCTCCGTGCGGGAATGGAACCGACTGCATTTTGCACATCTATATACATAAATTGAAATGAAACCCGTTTCCCGTTGTCACGCCATAACTTGAGAACGGCTAGACCGATTTGGCTGTTATTTTTTTTTGTTATATTTGTTATTGTCAGGAGAAGGTTCTTATGACAGAAAATGTCCTGAAAATCCTACGGGAACGGGGTAAAACGGGATTTCGCGTACGAATACGCGGGCAGACGCTAGCAAAATAAAAAATACATTTCTCTTCCAGGCTACGAGGCTGAACATCTCCTGAAACGTAAAGCTGACATAATAACACCGAACGGATTGAATGTGAAGAAATTTTCAGCGCTTCACGAGTTTCAGAACTTACACGCACTCGCCAAAGACAAAATCAATGAATTCGCGAGAGGACACTTTTATGGGTAAGTTCTACTAATATAATGACAGATATAATATAACACGAATGCATCGGCTCGACCGGAGTAATACCACGGCCGAGCAGAAAACAGACGTGAAACAACCACAGCGGTGTGTTTCGTCCTGTGATTGAGGCTACCGGAGGCCCCGATAACCCGTTAGGTTCTCCGCTACTCCAAATCGGCATCAGCCCTATTGGGCCCCATCTGTGATGGGCTGAGGGCTTCTTGAGGCGCGCGCGGAACGCTCGGCACCGTACGCTCGGGTCTGGTCCTGGTCGGGCGGCGAGTCCCACATGCTCGCCGTCTGCAGGCTCGAATTAAGGAGGCCATACATGCTAGGTTTTGCATAATGGTTTTAGTCGTGCATGCATAACAGACAGGCAAGCCCTAGCGTGTATGTATCTTTTTCATTTTAGTAAGTTATTAGTATAATGCGTCAAGCGTGTCTTTGCATTGTTCTTACATATGCGTACAGTATTGAAATATGTATCAGAGACATTGTAGAACATACTTTTTTAAAAGAGTAACGAATGGAGTTTCTTGCTCGTCCTTCTCCATTCGAATCTACGTTTTGGAATGAGCACCTAGCTTCACCTAATTTCACTGGCGGACTGACTGACAGACTATTATTTATTTTGTATTTGTTGACGTTTCAAAAGTACCAAACTATAGTTTAATTGAAATAAATGCTTTGACTTTGGACTTATGTGACTAAACTGTACAGTTATCGGTGCATGTACAGTCAAAGGTCAAAAGTCCACTGCCACCGTGAGTGATGTTCACATGGCAATGCGTAAGTAATTACATATTAATGTGCATAACAACGCGTACGTACACACACACACATGCACGCGTACGAAATATGCGTGTGAATGTGCGTATAAGCGCTGCAGCGCAACCGATAGTAGTCTTACAGTGGCAGTGGACTTTTGACCTTTGATCGTACATGCAAAACCTAACATGTATGCGTGGTATGAAACTCGGTTAATGCTTGTCGGTTTTGCACGCAAAGTTATAATCATCATGCATAAAGCATGTATGGCCTCCTTTACGGTGGCCGGAGATCGTCCCGCGGTCCCCGACGCCCGGAGTGTACTTCGCGATGGTTTGGGTGTGAGGACGCGTCCCGCCTCCTCCTTGGCTACCATAACTGCTTCGCAAAAGGAGGAGACGGCATCCCAGTCCCAATTATTATATGTATAGATACCGATTATTGTCCACAGGCACTTCAACTTCGATTTGGATAAGACGTTATACTTCTTCATCGCTGGCCGCTATGAGTTCGGTAACAAAGGAGCTGATATCTTCATTGAAGCTTTGGCGAGACTTAACCATTACTTAAAGGTAAGGTTTTTACTGTAAACAATATTTTTTATTTTATTACATAACATAACATCACGCCTTTTATCCTCGAAGGGATAGGCTTATGTGTACATTACGGCACTTAATGCCACTGTACAATGTAACACCCACTTTTCACTATTTATGTTATGAGTCCCATGTAATAGGGGGTGAGCCTATTGCCATTTTCGATATACCGGGCACAATTTCAGACTCCGTGCTACTTCTGAGATTTAAAAAAAAACCCAATTGTACTTTGTCCGACACGGGAACCGAACCCGAGGCCCTTTTTCTGGCAATCGCACCAATGAGGCAGTCAGTTTTTATTTTATTTCAACAGGTACAATTATGACTTAGACTTATGGGTCCCGGTGTAACTCGAAACTAGTCGAGCATTCCTCGAATAGTTCACACAAAAAATTAAAGTTCTCAGTTCGACCTGTGTGTATATCTCCACATTTGTGCGCGATTATTCGATCTTGCGATTGGCTAAACTGATTTTGATGCCTTCAAAAACGAGGGGGTTGTACTTGAAAGTCAATATTTGAAACGTAGTTTACAAAAAAAAAAATATCCATTAGTAATTATATTGCATCATCTTAGGCAATAATTATACTTTTTCTATTCCACAGTCGTCAGGATCGGACATGACTGTAGTAGCGTTCATGATCTTCCCAGCAAAGACGAACAATTTCAATGTGGAGAGTCTACGAGGACATGCCGTCACCAAGGCATTGAGGGACACCATCAATGACATACAACAGAAGATCGGGAAGCGAATGTACGACATATGTTTGAGGTAAGATCTTCCAAAACTTTGTCAAGTTTATTAACATGTTAACCGCCACGTAGGTCACCGGTGACCGACGTTATCGGAGGATTTGCCTTCAGCAGTTTTCTGTCAGCAGTCAAAGGCTTAATTATTACGTTTTCCACTTACTCACGTAATTGTTTGACTCAGAACTCGACTAGTTTCAAGCCATGCTAGAGGCTCATATCCACGGGAAGCATTCCTCAGCCGCCGACTGTCGGTACGCCGCGACACCGCTGCCACGCTACACTCGTTCACCGGTGGCTGCGTAGACTTTGAGTTCGAATCCAAGTCGACACAAAACCGCACATACCGCGCTCACTGTGTCACACTCCAGACCCGTAGTATTGTAGTCTGACGCAGATTGCATTTAGTTAATCACGTAACTGTTTGACTCAGAACTCGACTAGTTCCAAGCCATGCTAGAGGCTCATATTCTTGAGCAGCATTCCTCGTGCCGCCGCGACTGTCGCAGCTCCTGACTGCTGGAGCCAGCCGCGGGGCGGGCGGCGCCCTCTGCCGCCACTGTCACGCACGCAGCTCCATCCGCGGCCGCGACACCGCTAGCACGCTATACTCGTTCGCCGGTGGCCGCGTAGACTTTGAGTTCGAATTCGGCTCGATGCAAAACCAGTATTACATACCGCGCTCACTGTGTCACTCTTTATGTATGTCAAGATTGCTTGTGCAAACCCCCAAGGAATGGAATTCCTTGCCAGAGGCTGTGTTTCCCGACAAATATAACTTGGGTGTCTTCAAGTCCCGAGTGAACAGGTTGTTCATATGTAGGCGTGCTCCATCGTCGGCCACATCATCGCTTACCATCAGACGAGATTTTTTTTATGATGGGCCAACGTTTGACCGCCATCTCGCCTGGTGCTAAACAATGATGCGGTCTACGATGGAGCACGTCGTCCCATAAGCAACCTATTCACTCGGGCCTTGAAGACACCCAGGCAGGAAATACACACTCTGGCAAAGAATTCCACTTTTTTTGCATTGTTCTCACATATACGTACATCTACAATATTGATAATATTGTATCAGAGAGATTGTAGAACATACTTTTTAAAAAAGAGTATCGAATGGAGTTTCTTGCTCGTTCTTCTCCGTTCGAATCTACATTTTGGAATGAACACCTAACTTCACCTAGCTTCGCTGACGGACTGACTGACAGACTATTATTTATTTTGTATGAGTACCAAATGGTTGTTGGTATGGTTTAATTGAAATAAATTGTTTGTACTTCAAGCAGATTCGGCAAGTTTGCGCAATAAATAAATAGATGGCGTGCTTATTAAAATCCGTATATCACCATCGCCCACTAATGAAACCTATATATTTCAGTGGCCACCTCCCTGACGCGTCCGACCTGCTCCACAAGGACGACACGGTGCGCCTAAAGCGTTGTATATACAGTTTGCAACGAGATGGCCTGCCTCCCATCACGACGCATAATGTAGTAAGTACATGGACATAACATCACGCCTTTTCACGCCGGCAGAGGTGCATATTACGGCACTTAATGCCACTGTACAATGTAACACCCATTTTTCACTATTTATGTTACGAGTCCCATATAATAGGGGGTTGAGTCTATTGCCATATGCCGAACATGATTCCAGACTCCGTGCTACGACAGATATTTTATTTTAAAACCCAATAATATTTTGCCTGACCCGAGATTTGAACCACACTTACGACCACTCGGCCAAAGAGGCAGTCAAATGTTGTAGATATTTATGCTTTATTTGGAGACAGACATTTAAAATATGTTTAAGAAGATATCGCCGTTGCCATTCGAATGCGCGGATTCGAAACCTACCATCGGCAAGTACCGATGTGACTTTTTCCGAGTTATATGTACTTTCTAACATTATCTAGACACCACTGACAAACTGTGAAGGAAAACATCGTGAGGAAACCTGGGCTTATAATTTCTAATTATAAGTTTGACATCACCATCGCACTGAGCAAGCGTGGTGATTAACCTCTTGTTAATCGATATATGAGATACAATAGAAAACACATTGGTTAATGCTCAAATCTTGTACTTCTGAGAAGGATCTTAATATGCTCTGTAGTAGGTACTTATAGGTTGTTGATGTAGGTGTGAATGATTTTTATTTGTTTTCTCCAGGTGGATGACTGGAGCGATCCTGTGTTAAACTCCATCAGAAGATGCGAACTCTTCAACACAGTTAACGATAAAGTTAAGGTAAGACAAATAAACATACATTATATCACGTTATTGCACGGTTGGTGCCGTGCGGCTGCCGTGCAACGTGTCGTGGGGTCGATTCTCGCACGGAACAACACTTTGTGTGATCTACAGATTGTTGTTCCGGGTCTGGGTGTCATGTGTATGTGAACTTGTATGTTTGTAAACGTACACACGATACAGGAGAAAATTCTATTGTGGGGCAATTTTAATAAATATATTTCCTAGGTCTATAACGAAATATGTAATCAAATCTAAGAGATTAAATTACACATACTTCTTATTGTTGTATCATTGTGAAAGTTGGTAATAGGGTAGATGACTAATTTTTATTTTAATGTCCGTCTGGTAGATTATTTTAAATCATTTGACACGTATTTTTTATTTTCTTACAGAAACGAATAGTTACGACGATATATTGATTTGAAATGTCGCGTGACGTCACTTCTATGTACATTTTATACGTAGAAATGAGGTTTTAGCCCCCACTCCTAAACTTTGATTCGTTTTATCCAAGTATTGTTTTATTATACGACAAAATAAAAAAATACGTGTCTAATATTTTTTCATTACCTAACTTACGGACTAATTACCTTAGTCAGTAAGAGTCTGACACTCCCTCTGGCATAATACAAGGCGGGAGAAGTCAATGGATGATTTTCCCCTCTTAAAAAAGTTAAATTATGTAGTTTGGGCTCATTAGGTATTACTATGTCGGTTTATCCAGGTGGAGAAAGAAATATTAACTAAAAATCGCGGGTTACTCACGTGAATATACTAAGAAAAGCTCTACTAGTTTCGAACCACGGAGGGGTTCTTCCTCATGAGCAGCGTGCGTGGTCGCGGCGATGTCGCACAGTCTTTTTTATGGAATAAGCCGGTAAACGAGCAGACGGATCACCTGATGGTAAGCAATCGGCGTCGCCCATGGACACCTGGAACACCAGAGGCGTTACAAGTGCATTACCGGCCTTTTGGGGATTAGGAGTAAGAGGATCGTTGGGGATTCAGGAATTGGGGAAATTGGGGAAGGGGAGGGTAATTGGGCCTCCGGTAACCTCACTCACACGACGAAACACAACGCAAGCGTTGCTTCACGTCGGTTTTCTGCTCGGCCGTGGTATCACTCCGGTCGAGCCGGCTCATTCGTGCCGAAGCATGGCTCTCCCACACTTATACTACTGGCTAACCCTCGATTTTTAGTTAATTTAGTATGTCTCACGATAGTTATTATATAAACAGAGAAAGAAATATGATTAAAAGCGTGTATTTCGTTTTTTTCACTATGAATTTTTTTATCTTTTCCAGGTTATTTTCCATCCTGAATTTTTGACATCAACGAACCCATTGTTTGGGCTGGACTATGAAGAGTTTGTTAGAGGATGCCATCTTGGGGTGTTCCCGTCTTATTACGAACCTTGGGGGTACACCCCAGCTGAGTGTACCGTCATGGGAATACCCAGTATTACCACTAATTTGTCAGGTAAGGTGGACAAGTTTTTGAGACATTTTATTTATATATTAGCTTCTGCCCGCTACTTCGTACGCGCAATCCCGTTTTCTCCCGTTCCCGTAGGATTTTCACGAATGTTTCTGTCTTAAAAACCTTCTCCTGACAATAACAAACACAACAACGAAAAAAAAATGATCAGCCACATCAGTCTAGCCGTTCTCAAATTATGGCGTGGCAACGGGAAACAGGTTTCATTTTTATATACTAGCGACCCGCCCCGGCTTCGCACGGGTGCAATTTGCATGTATTATACATATAAAGCTTCCTTAAGAATCACTCTATCTATTAAAAACCGCATCAAAATCCGTTGCGTAGTTTCAAAGATTTAAGCATACAAAGGGACATAGGGACAGAGAAAGCTACTTTGTTTTATACTATGTAGTGATATATTTTTTTATATTTGATGGGCCGACGTTATCGCTTACCACTATCTCACCTGCAGCTGTAGCCAAATGCCAATGGCATTTGGTGAGTTATTTGCATCTGAATTGTTAAGTTTTTGTGCTGACCAGACATGGTCCTGTATTGACATGCAGTTGCTGCCTGCCGACACTTTTACTTTTATCAGTGAAGCGCACGGTAGCCGGAGGTGGTTGGATCACTGTGTGGTGACCGAAGCTGCGTGCCGCTCAGTTATAAGTAGCTCTGTATTGTATGACACATACTGGTCTGACCATCTGCCTATTTTGTTGAATTGCAACTTTAAACTTTTAAAGTCAAAAATTTGTATGTGTAGCTCTTTACATAAAAATAAAATAAAATGGGGTGAGCGAAATATAAATCAGATTGATATGTATAGAAATATCTGTAATTACAAATTACGAGACATCGATTTTCCTAGCGAATTAACATTATGTGCCGATCATATGTGTAATAATACTACACATAGATCAATTATAAATAATATGTATAATGATATTGTGTCGATACTTTCCGAAGCCGCAGAATATAGCTTTATTGTGACGAAACGAAGGGGTAAATATGTTACGGGTTGGAATAAATATGTGCGCAGCGCTCACGAGAAGGCGCGACTTTGTTACCAGGTGTGGTTATCGAATAATAAACCAAACTGCGGTACTATCTATAATGACATGTG